AAATGTGGTAAGAGTAAATGCGCAGATGCCAATTAATGGCCTTTATCATGTGCCAGTAGTGCTGGGTATGTAATTCGGAACAGAAGTGGTATATGAGCTCTGACTGATGGGTTTATTATCTCAAGAAGAAATTGGGTTTTATGCTATAAAAACACATGGCATTAACTTTATAGGGTGTATAATGAAATAGCCTGTAAGGATCTGCACTGCTGATCTTAATAAATATGCATCACTTGAGAAGAACTAAACACAGTAGAAGAATGGTAATAATAATGATAGTTGATCCTTAGAAATCTAAAAGGAACAGGTTATACTTTGCTTCTAACTAAGAACGTAGAAGTGTGATATCCTAGACTACGCATACCTGGCTTACAAATTGGCTTTCTAAGGTGATAGTACAGTGCTACCCAGAATGTGATAGGCAAACCAGGGCTGCGCCTCGAATTTTCTTATGTGATAAATACAGAAATTGAGAATAATTATTTAGAATTTTTTAGATCAATTTGACAGAGTAATTCTATGCCTGTTGAATTGTGTAATCACTAATTGGGGGCTTGCATTTCATATGTCTTTGCCTTTTTAAATTTTCATTTTCAAGTAATTGATAAGGACAAACGCATTCTCTAAGTCTTAGGTTTCTCACCTTAGAAATGAATTCAATAACAGCATTTACCTCTTGATGCCGGATCTAAGGATTAAGGGAAGATAGATGTATATAAAATGCTTAGCACTGTGTCTACCACAGCATCGGTTCTTAGGATTATGGACTAACACACACATTCTGAATTCTGCGCAAGTGGGACATGGTGTCTATTTGTAACAGGACTTTGGTGAATACTCCCATCTACAAGTAAACTCCCTCTGGAATCAGGCCACCTGTTGGGACAGACTAGGAGTTCATCACCGTTGACTTGCACAAAGCAACCACATTTGGCTTTTGGTCTGCCCTATTTAATTCCTTAAGTCATTAATTTGAGTAATCACCGAGAGCCTCAACAAGTGAACTATTCTGCTTTTTATTGTTCACTGAGTACGTATATTATTTCGGGGACCAGGATAAAATAACTTGTCATGCGCTGATGGCAAATATGGAGATGTAAATTTTGGTTTCAAAAGATGCATCAGTTTAGGTAGTGCTTCATGTAGCAAAGAAAAAAATATGCAATCTATTCTAGTCAAAGAGGCCAAACAGTTTCTTCAAAAAAAGTGTGCTTAGACCAACTGTCTAAAACAAAAGTTGAATGCCTCTTCAGCAGGCATTGGTGGTGGCCAAACAAAGGAGTGAGCTATTTCAGAAAATAAATGCTTAACTGAGGATAATCAACCAAAAAGGTTTTAATTTTTTAACTGCAGTGGAGATCATGAGGCTCTATTATCAGACAGACTTGTAACCAAATCATGATTTTGCTACTTAACGGGGTCCATCAAACAAATGTTTTGCTTTCTTCGAGTCTGGGTTTCCTAATCTATAAAATCAGGGGCTAAGAGGATAATGTTTGAGTATAATAGGTGCTTAAATAACATCAATGCCCTTCTTTTTCAGTGAGTATACTTCAATTATTATTCTTTAAAATAATCAATAAGTTGACTTTAACAAGATTCCATGAATAGAATTAGACTTTAAAACATAGTAAAAATAATATTCAGCACTTGTTTTTAAAAACACACATTGGATTTGGCAGACTCAGTGAACAACAGGCTGTAAAAAAAAAAAAAAAATGTGACTGACCTTTCCAAGGTTAAGCATCTTCAGCTCCTTTTCACTCTGTCTAGAACTCTTTGCTCTAGCCAGAATAGCTCTCCCATGCACGTGACTTGGCTCACTCTTATTTTTAGTCCTTTGTGTTTAGCACTCTTCTTGAAATGACCTTCTGCTGCCTTCCTGCCAAACCCCACACTCCTTTAAAATTGTTCATCATTCACCTTGTCCAGGAATTGGCAGCAAGAAATCTGGTCAAGTGATTCACTCCAGCCCATCTTCCCAGGCTGTGGATTCTTCCAGGCTGTAGCTGCCCTAGTCCCTACTTTGACACATTTTGTTACTTGCGATTTTGTTACTAGGATTTTTTTCATGTTCCTAGATACTTTCCCCCTATGAGAGCTATAAACTTCATTTCTCGGGGTTACACTGAGTACATTCAGGATTAGAAAAGCTTTCACTTGTTCAAGGGCACAGCATTTACAGCTAATTTTAAACAGGTAGCCAGTTCCTCGGGTTTTTACTTTGGTATTGTTTTCATTTCATGACCCTACTTCATTTAATGGGGCACATGATTGGTATTATGACTGACTGACTCAGAAACAGTGGGGGGACCTCGGGCATGAAAAGGCAGCCCTAGAGCAGTAATGGCAGATAGGGGCATGGATGCAAGAGATAGGACCAAATGGAGGTAGGGAAAGGGAGGTAGAAAGGAGGCCTCAAAGGACTAATTGGCTTACTCCAAGCATGTCACATGAAAAGAACATTTAAAAACACCTAAACAACAACGACGACGAGAAGAATAACACATTTCTGCTTTGCTTCTATTTTGTGCTTAATAAACAACGCTACTGTCACTGCCAACAAAAACAGCAACATAACTGTGCTTTTCCCCTGGCACTAACTCTAAACAATCTACTGGATTTGGGTCAAAATTGTAAACTGCCAGCATGTTAAAAATAAAAACACAAAAACAAACCTGGCCTGTTCCTTAAGGGTTGTGAGGGTGAATGCAGGACAAGAGCCAGAGAGAAGAGTTACTATAAAAAATAACTCGTGCAAACATCCTTGAACTGACGTTTTCTATAAAAATCTGTTGGCTGTGAATCGGAAAGAGGGAAGTGGGAGGGAGAATGGAATGGGGGATCAAGTGGTGTCTGCTTATCGTCAGCTAGCTTTCATGTAAAAGTCATGGCAGGGTCAGCAACAAACTAGCCAGGTGGCAACTCCAGGCCACGCTGCCATAAATAAATAGTTATGTACTAATGTCACACAACCAGAGCTAGATGCAAAGCATATGGCAAGAAAACATTCTGATGTAAATATTCAGGGGGGAAAGCACACCAAAAGCATGGTTTCTGAATTCAGGATCCGCGTTGTTGTTACCGGGAGAAATAAAGTGGCGAGTCTTTTCAAAAAGATTCTTCGAAATGTAGATTGTCCCTGTTCAAAAAATGCTTACCCTTTGGCCTAAGAGAGTGTGACTATTTGCTGTAGTAATTAAATACAAGAGAGTGAGCAAGAGCACAGATTGTGGAACCAAATTTCAGCAGTTTAAATGTTATGCATGCTGCTTACTCCTTGTCCTGACCTCTGGGAAGTTACTTAACCTTTCCAGGCCTCAGTTTATTCACCACGTAGAAAGGGAGGTGGAAGGTGATAATGGCTTTGTACCTGCCTACCGGAAGTTAGAGGATTGAGTGAGTCAAAGCCTAGGGGGCCCATTAAACAATAGCAAGTAATCTACCTAGACCAGTGGTCCACAAACTGCAGTTGGAGAGCCACATGTGGCTCTTTGCTCGCTTAAGTGTGGCTCTTCCATAAAATATCTGTGCTATGGAAACATACAGTGCGATTGAAACTTCGTGGCCCATGCGCAGAAGTCGGTTTTCTGCTCTCAAAAGAAATTTCAATTGCTGTACTGTTGATATTTAGCTCTGTTTGACTAATAAGTTTGCCGACCACTGATAGGCTATCTGCTGCATATGTAATACATGCATATGTATATGTATATGCATATGTATCTGCTGTACATATGCTAAGGAGTCCTTTACTTCCCTACTTAAGCTCAACATCTACCTCATTAATTACAAACAAAACAAAAAACCCACAATTTTACAAAGGAACTGAGGCTTGGTGGATTAAGGAATTTATCCAAGGAGGCATATCTAAGCTAAACTTCCAACCCAGGCCTTATTCCAGATGGAAAAGAAACAAACAAAAAAACCCCACACATTCTCTAACAAACACTTTTTCATTCATTTGCCGGAAATGTTAAAATTTGAAAAGAAACACAATACATGGCCTTCTAAAAAACAAAGTGGATTTTTTTTTTTTTTTTTTTTTTAAAGGGATTAAAGGAGGACCTGAGGTCCTAGAAAAAAGTGCCTCCGGAAGATCTGAGGTTGCCTCAAGGCCCCAGGGAAAACAGCCAGTCGTTGCCTGGTTTCTCCAAACATTTGCTCAGCGCCTACTGTGCAGAGAGAGCTGGGGAGACCGAGAGGAGGGAGGAAAGAATCAGTCCCAGAGAACCTAGCGGGAGGGGGAGCGGGGGGAGGGATGAGAGCGCTTCTTCCCTGCCGGCTGTAGGGTGACATCGGGCTTGTTTTCTAGTTTGTTTCCCTGCACATACCAGCCGCCCTGAGAGCTGCAGAAGCCTGGCTGGCGTCTGCCTGCAGAGCTGCGGGGGTTTGGCCCCCGGCCCCGCCCTCGGGGCGCGGCGTCTAGTGGGGAAGGCACGCTCTCTCTGCCCGTCTCCAATCCGAGGCGCGTTCAAACCCGCGCTTTTGGAAACGTATTCAAACCGCGCGCCCCGGCAGTGGCTTTGCGGGCTCGAGCTTGGGCATCGCAGACCCCCAGGTGCCCTGGCGGCCGGGTCCGTGAGCCCGGGCTCGGGCTGGCACTCCGGAGGGTGCACGCTCCGCCCGCCCCAGGTGGGTCCCAGGTGGCCGCTGCCGGGATACCTGCTCCAGGAGACTTAGGCCCCGCCCCCTCCGGGGTCGCTGCCTCCTGATTGGCTCGCCCTTAACTGACATGGCGGCGGTTGCCTTCGGCAGGGCCCACTGCGGCTGCGCAGAAAGCACGGGCCGGGCAAGCCTGGTCTAAAGCCCGCCCCCGCCGCCGTGGCTGGAGCTTAGGCTGTTCTTGGGAAGGTGGAGGGCTGGGGGACCCGCCAGGAAGTGGGGGACCCCGCGCCGTGCCCCTGTGTGCCCACCCCTGGTCCCCCCCGGCACCCAGGCTGCTCGGGCCCAGGGTGGTTTTTCCGTGACTTGTCCCGCCACCTCCCAGACTCTGGCCCAACATGATACTGACCAAAGCCCAGTACGACGAGATAGCCCAGTGCCTAGTGTGTGTGCCTCCCACCAGGCAGAGCCTGAGGAAGCTGAAGCAGAGGTTCCCCAGGTAAGTGCCCGCCTCTTCTCCGCTCCCACAGCTCCCTCTCCGCTCTCACTGCCCCGGCCTGCGTCAGCTGTGCCCGCAGCCCAGCCAGCCCTGAGCAACCACGTGTCTGTCACTCGTGTCAGTGTCAGGGGATCCGGATGGTGAAAGGTTTCTTCTCTCACCTGCCTTCTCCTGGAGATGCGTACTGGGTGAATCAATGAAATTCAAGTTAGCAGTGGTTTATTGAAAACTTGGTATGTGCTTAGTGATGGATGCACATAGTAGGTGCTGCATAAAATGTCTAGTGGTGAATTGACAGATACTGGGGATGAATGACAGGAGGCAGGACCGCCCCCCCCCCCCCCCCCCCGCAGTGGAAATACCAATGGTAGATTCAAAAGGAGGAAATGGAGGACCCTTTTCAATTGGCCCCTGGAAACAAACTAGGGATCACAGGCCACAAGGGGCCTCCTGTGTGACAATGGCTCTCTTAATATAATTAAGGGCCCTCGAGTGTTCTCAAACCAGCCAGAGAGACTGTGCCCCAGAGATTCCGCTCTTGGCTCAAGAGTGGCCATTTGAACAACCATATGTATACACGTTCCAGGTATATTTCATACTTCTCTCCTTCCCAAAACACTTTTTTTTTTTTTAGTGATTTTTTTAGTTTTCAGAAAGGACTCTAGGAAGTATAGATTTCCTCATTTTGAAGATGTGCAAATTGAGGCCCCAACATATCACAAAGAACCTTGCCAGGACAAAGCAGGTTATTTATGCCATGTTAAAGATTAAAATGCTTGTTTCCTTTTCATTTATCTCAAAACCAAATTCCAACTTGTACCATTTTGTTTTGTGGTACTGAGCACTGTAGCCCCCAATGGAGGACGTCATTGTCCTTGACATGCAATTCTTCAACAGACATCACCATAGAAATGCTTTCTTGAAGAAAGAGAGATTATTTGGTAATAAAGTACAATAGAAGCATAAGTTGAAAGTCTTATGATCTCATTTTTTTTTTGAAGAACTGTTTTCCTAATCTGTAAAATGAAGGAAAACTAAGTTAAAATTAAATTAATATTCAATTTAAGGCAGTATTTATCCTTTTATAGTCCAAGATTTTTATCAGACTTGCTAACCAGGAACAAAACTAATAAATTGGAATTTAATGATCTGTCTTTAACTGTTGCCAACTCTGCCAATGAGCAAAGAATGGGTGAAGGCTCATTAGCTACGGGAATAGGTAGATATTTTGGGATATTTTAAAAATAGAACATGCATTTAGATATTCTCTCGTGTACTTATATTTCAACTATACTCTTGATTTTCTTCCCCCATCCCCTCTTCTCCTTTGCTCTCATTCTTTTTCTTTTTCCATAGCAAGTACTTTGTCCTCTCCAAAGAGGTACCCTTCCCATACTATTATGCACTTATGAAGGACTCCCTTCGTTTGGGGCACCGGGCTGTCTTGGTTTCTTGGTTATACTCTTATGTTCCTACCCCCCCCACACACACCTTTTATTCATACCCCCCCCCCCCAATACTTTTAACTTCTTCAAAATACCACTTGGGGGATCACAAACTCTCCCACAGGAAACTATTTACAGAGGCTGCTAATCAGCAGAAGAAATTAAAGAGCCATTTAGCAGCATGGGTGGACATTTTTTAGAGAGTGTGATTTTGGACTTGGCTTGACCGATGCACTGTTTGACTTTATTTTATGTGTGGTTTTTTTCTTTTCTTTTTGTTGACTGTATTGGGGTGACATGGGTTAACAGGATTATACAGGTTTCAGGTGCACAGTTCTATAACATCATCTGTACACTGTATTTGTGTTCAACAAACACTGTGTTCCTTGCAACGGACTTGCACAATCTTTAGATTTGATGGAGTTGGTCAGGTACGGTCCTGAAAGATAATTTCTGGTGGTTCAAAGAGGTTAAATGACTTGTCAAACATACCAGAGATGTTTAATGGCTGAACACTGTCTTGAGTACAGGTTTCATAATTTTCAGTTCAGAATTCTATACTAAGCTGCCTTGATTAGTTTCAACATTATTAATAATAACAGCACCAATTGTTTTTGGTGACATTCACATATGGTGAGTCCTTAAAAGTCAAAATATTAAAATGTTTTTAAAAGTTGCTAAAATTTTTAATTTTTCTGACTCTAAAAGTAGGAGATGTTCAGTTAAAAAAAAATTAAAAAAATGTATTTATAATACCATAGCCCAGAAATTTTTGTTACCATTTTATCTATTTCCTTCTAGTCTTTTTTTCACACTATAGTATTGTCTCTGCTAATATACTTTTAAGGTCTTGCTTTTCTCAATTAACATATGGTGAGCATTCCTCATCTTCAAAACATCTTCACAATGTGTTTCAAATAATCAGACTCACGTTCTAGATGTATCCTTCATTTTCTTATTGTTGGATTTCAAGAGGGTTTTTTCTCTCTAATTTTTTAATATTATTTTTGTGCATATATAATGCCAAGTCTGCTTATTTTCTTACTTTCAATTTCCAGTTTTCAAATTTTTAGTTTGCAGAACTCTTTACACTCTGAAAAAGAACATTTGTTTACTGATATATTGGTTATACCTGTTGATATTTACCAAAATTTAAATTAAATCTGAGAATTTAAGAAAATTTACTGATTAATTTATTTAAAAATTAACTAAGAAAGCCATGACATGTTTTTGTTAACATGTTATGTTTAACATACTGGATTATCAACCATCATTTCGAAAAAGCAGTGAGAAAATGGCCATTTTAAACTTGTGAAAAATTTTTAAAGGTCTCCCTTAATAGAAAGAAGATATCTGCTTCTGCATTCAACCTGCTCTGATATGTTGTTTTGACTACAGAATATGAAGAAACTCTGGCCTCAATTAGATATGTAGTTGGAAAGGGAAGAGTAATTTAATCGGCTTTTCAGATAATTGTGGATATTTTTGTTGCTACATAAAACCCAACAAGTGGTATTTTCTTAAAGGTTAATTGCAGTGTGGAATGTGAAACTTTATTGGCCCTTTCCACTCTGTTATATTACAGTCCTTTGACCTGTCATAAACTTTGAGTGGATCTTTTACCTACGCATGACTTTTATCATCATGCATTGTTCACTTGCAAAATGTTGGTTGTGAGTTATACAGGTCTCAGATGTTGTCTCCATTCGTTATATAGCATCAGAAGAAATCACATCTATAATAATAAAAGCGTAATATGCTAATTAGACCAGGCAGCTGAAAGACCTTCCAGACTTCCTTCTGGACAAGGCCAGAGCTGCGAGGGCCTTGTACCTTGCACGAATTTCATGCATCGGGCCTCTAGTTTGTTAATATCTTCCCTGATCTCATCAGAAAAATCTGTAAGATTTGCAGCTGTCACCCTTATGTGATGGATACAGATTTTTCCCTTAAATGCTCACATTTTATCATTGGTAACAAACATTATCACTTGTTTTTCTTGAAGTGACAGGCTCACTTTGTGTAATTTTGAGGAAATGTCTGTTAGATACCCAAATCTGAATAATCATACTCTGTCCATCATTTAATCCAGTAAGAATGGTGTTTCATGGAAAAAGCAGCTAGTGCCCTAACTGGTTTGGCTCAGTGGATAGAGCATCGGCCTGCGGACTCAAGGGTCCTAGGTTCAATTCCAGTCAAGGGCATGTGCCTTGGTTGCAGGCACATACCCAGTAGGGAGTGTGCAGGAAGCAGCTGATTGATGTTTTTCTCATCCATGTTTATAACTCTCTCTCTTCCTGTCTATAAAAATTCAATAATATATATTAAAAAGAAAAAGAAAAAGCAGCTAGTTCACTCTCAAGCATACAAGTGCTTTTCCTTGAGACAGCCATCAGACTTCTGTAGGCAGTGCATGTGCTTTGTGTTTACTTCTTATTTGCTCATAAAATGTTAAAAGGATGTATATTCAAAGGTTGAGTATTAGTAAGTAAATTTGAAGATATTCCTAAGTAAAACTGGCTTTTTGTTTCCTGCGAGTATGTGATAATGAAGAATATAGTGCCCCCGAAGACGGTTGTGCCCGGCCTTGATTTGTGCTCAGGAGCTGGCAACTTCACTCGCCACTGTTTTTGCACTATCATTGCATATACCACACAGGGAAAAGGCAAATCATGCCTTACTATTTCTATAAAGGTAATTTTGACCTTATAGACCCCCGAAACAGTCTCAGGGACTCCAGGTTTTCATTGATCACATTTTGACAACCACTATCTATTTTAAATAAAAGGTATTTATGTTTTGAAGAATTCTGATGTGTATGGGCAATTTGCTATATATATGATTGTATTGATCCTTTTACCAACAGGACATGGGATATATATCTCTACAACTTTGCAAACATTGAAGAGAGTCATTATTTAATTTTTAACATGATGGGTTGAGAACGACATCTTATAATTTGCATTTTGATTATAATACATTGTATGTTTTCTCAACTGTTTATTGAACATTTAGTTTTCTTCTTGAATTACCTGCCTGGTGTCTTTTGTCTAATTTTACCTTGAGGTTTGCTATTATTGTTTACTAGAGGCCTGATGCATGAAATTCATGCATGGGGTGGGGTGTCCTTCAGCCCAGCCTGCACCCTCTCCAATCTGGGACCCTTCAAGGGACATCCTACTGGCCTAAATGGGCAAACATCCATCTCACAAACCAGGACTGATGGCTCCGAACTTCTCACCTGCCTGCCTTTCTGATTGTCCCTAACCACTTCTCTCTGCCAGCCTGATCACCCCCTAACCACTCCCCTGACAGCCTGATTGATGCCTAACTGCTCCCCTGCCAGCCTGATTGGCCCTAATTTCCCTCTCCTGCAGGCCTGGTCACCCCTAACTGCCCTCCCTTGCAGGCCCAGTTACCCCCAACTTCCCTCCTCTGCTGACCTGGTCACCCCTAACTACCCACCTTTGCAGTCCTGGTCCCTCCTAACTGCCCTTCCCTGCTGGCCACCTTGTGTTCATATGGAGGCAGAATCTTTGACCACATAGGGGCAGC